AATTTCCTTGTAGTTTAATCTTGTTTTAATGGGAAGGGGTGGGAGATTGTGGGATGAGGGAATGTTTTTAACTTGTATATTTAAAATGCTGTAACCTGCCCTGATTGCAGAGCAGAGGGGTGGGCTATAAATAAAATTTATTATTATTATTAACATAAAATGGCATTTGGGCTTCTAGCATCATTGTCATCATCATTATCATTGTCATCATTATTTATAACCTCCCTTTTCCCCAAGTCTCAAGATGGCTTACACATTAAAAAGATTACAATTAAAAACATAACAAAGGTCCAAAACAAACTAGAAATAATCCAGTTGGAGACTGCTTTAACTGCCCTAGCTCAATAGTAGGGAATTCTGGTAACTGTTAGTTTGTGAGACATTTAGCCTTCTCTGTGAGAGAGCTCTGGAGCCACAATTAACTGCAATTCCCAGGATTCCCTGGTACTTAGCCAGGGCAGTTAAAGTGGTCTCAAACTCAATTATTTCTGCAGTGTGTTTTGGACCAAAAGGCCACATTAAAACTGTATTAAACTAAGAACCCTATTAAAAATATACACTCTAAAATATTTTTTAAATTAACAATACAGTTTAAAATAATACAACACTTACTGCTCTTTTCCAGTTCTAAAAGCCTGCCTGAACATTGTAGTTCAAGACTCTAGAAGCAGCCAACAAGAGAGCTCTCTTTTGCATCCACACCAGCCATGCCTGTGAAAGTGGCAGAACTGAAGGGCTGACCCAAGCTAGACCTTATATGTTTTTAACTGGCGTAGTGGTTTGAGTGTCAGACTATGACTCTGGAGACCAGGGTTCGATTACCAGCTTGGTCATGAAACTCACTGTGTGACCTTGGGCAAGTCACACACTCTTAGCATCAGGGGAAGGTAATGGCATACCTTCTCTGAACAAATCTTACCAAGAAAACCCCATGATAGGTTTGCCTTCGGGTCACCATAAGTTAGAAACTGTTTGAAGGCACACAACAATAATAATAATAACAACAACAACAACATAACATAGTATCTATTTTTTACTGTGCTTAAGTGCAGGTTTTAGAAGTAGCCCATTAAATATAATGTTACATTTTACCTTGGCAACAAGTGCTAATATCATTAGAGTTATAACAACAGTAATAAAGTTTTTGGTAATGAATACATTATTCATAACTTTAACATATTGTTCACAGAGCTCATTTTGAGAATCCAAGAGGTATACTGAAGCATCTTTGGTATTTCAAATTATTTTTTTAAAAAAAAATTAAAAATGTAAAAAAAAAAAAGTAATATGTGAAAAAGGTAATGCTAGTCCCTTGACATGAATGTCTAGTTGTAACTGACTGTAGGGGGCAGTACTTATCTCCATTACTAAATTGAAGAGCCAACATTGTCCGAAGATGAACCTGGTGGTCATGTGGCCAGCATGACTACACCAAACACTGTTACCTTCCCACCAAAGTGGTACTTATTTGCCTACTTGCATTTGCATGCTTTTGAACTGCTAGGTTGGCAGAAACTGAGACTAGTGACAGGAGCCCATGTAACACTTGGGCCTCAAACTGCCAACCTTTCAATCTTCGAATCATCAGAATTGGTGCCTTAACCTCTAAGCCACCACATCCCTAATAATATGTTACTAATCAGTAACATAATGAGTTATTTTTTTCAAATGTCAGAAATGAGTCACAACAAACTACTTTCCTATTCACTAGCATTGACATGTTCACTTTAAAACATTTCCAAGTTCCTGTAAGATATTCAATAGCATTTAAAAAATCCCTCCAAACAGTGTGATGTTCTGTCTGCATATGACAAGTCTGATAGCTCCTTGTCTTGCATGACCTGACATGGCTTTGAAATCATGCCACAGTGTGGATTCTGGAGGAAGTCCAGGGGCATGATTTCAAAGCCAGGCAGCAGAGTTCAGCAAGGAGAGAGAGAACCACTCCAACCATCCACAAATTGAACACATCTCCCACAACATCTGGAGATGAGAGAGCTGTAGTCTGCTAAGAGAAATGCTGTTTTAACTGCAGGAAGATGGGGCATCGCCAAAAAGAGTGCTGGATGTCTTCTGCAGCATAAAAGGAAACATCAAACAGCCATAAGAAGAATAAGCCTCAGGAAAAGAGGGGCATTGCTACACAAGCTGAAGACAGTGTTGCTGTTGCCTGCCAGGCAAACACTCCAGAAGGTATGTAGCTGCTGGACAGTGGGGGCCACTCACTACATGGTCAACAGTCCAATGCTCCTAAAGGACTTAAGACCTGCTGCAGTGTCATCTGTTTGTTTAGGAGATGGAGCTCCTAGCAAGGTTCAGCAAATGGGAATTGCTTTCATTCCCAGTTTTGGAAAGACATTTAATAATGTACAGTGTGAAAACAATCTTGAAAATTGTTTACTGAGTGTTTCCACACTAACATCTGATGGGTATCAAATGTCATTTCAAGGGGATGGGTGCACAATATATTCAAATGGGTCTGTCTGTGCCAGAGGGGTAAAAATGAATAAGCTTTACCACATGGTGGCAAAAGTAAAGTGTGCTAATGTTTCTAATGTACCACTGCACTTGAATTGTGCCCATTACTTGCATAGGCTCATGGGACATGCAAGTTTTTCTAGTCTTTCACATTTGGAAAAGGTTTGTCCAGAGTTAAAGGTAAACCCCTGTAATAACTATTTGAATTTTCCAGTGTGTAAAAAGATAAAGCCGAAAGCTTTCCCTGTGCCCAAGGAAAGCAAGTGTGTCACCCAGAGGCCATTTCAGGTGATACATGCTGATCTGGCTAGACCCTATAGCAGGGGTAGGCAAACTTTCCCCTTTAAGGGCCGAGGGACTTCACCTCCCAGAATCCCAGGAGCTATTGGCCAACATGGGACTATTGGCCAACATAGCTGAGGCTTCTGGGAGCTGAAGTCCCTCGGCCCTTAAAGGGAAAAGGTTGACTACCCCTGCCCTATAGACTCAGCGAAGGGGGCAACAAATACATGTTGGTCATTGTAGATAGGCACACAAGATATGGATATGTCTTTCTCTTAAAAACCAAAGATAAGGCAGCTGCAAAACATAAGCAGTGAGTAAACTCAATTGAGAGGGAGTTTCCACACAAAGTTGGTGCATTGGTAACTGATCAGAGAGGCAAATTCCTCAGCACCCATTTTCAAAATTGGCTAAAACAGAAAGGTATTTGCCATACAACCATGAATCCTGGTGCCCCAGAGGAGGATGGTCTGGCTGAAAGACACATTGGGGTTATTAGTCAAATGCATGATTGCTTGATGCTGGATGCACATGCTCCTGCCCATCTGTGGAGAGAAGCCACTCTTACAGCAAGCCACCTCATCAATAGAATGTGAATGTCATAGACTGCCCTGGACCTGACTTAGAGGCACAGTCAGACTGTGACTCTGAGGACTCTGAGTCTGCAGATCTGGAGTTATCTGGATGCTCTGCAATTTCAGAGGAGGTTCAGGAAGGTGCAGCTCAGGAAGCTGCAGAGGGAGAAACAAGCTCTACAGACTCTACAGACTCTAAGCTGCAGGTGATAGGACCTGTGGAGCAAAGACAGGCTAAGGAGTCCTTGAGGCATTCTTTCAGGCTAGAAGCCATGAGGAGAGCTAATAAGTTTCAGCTGAGAGATGCAGAGGTCCTTTTAAAGGGCTCCAACTGCCGAGATTCTTTGTAGCCAACAATCCATCTTGCAGCCTCCTTGTTCCTTGCTATCTGATTTACAATTCCGGTTATCTGACCTTTGCAATTGTCTTGGGACTACAATTCTGCTTCTGTCCATTGTTGTGACCTCCTGGATTGTTATTGTGTGACCTTTGAACCGGAATTTTGACTATTCCTTTGCCTTCCACATTGTTGTGCTGTCTTCTGGAGAGGTAAATAGGACAGTGGAGTTCAACAATTCATCAAATTCCATATTTTCTATTTATGGTTGTGCACCCAATCTGAACTGTTTAAGAATTTTTGGGCACTATGCAAATGTGCTTGTTTCACCACAATTCCAGAAAAAGGGAGAGCAAAAGTAGAGAAGGCTTTGCTTTGTTGGTTATGTAAGGAACAAATACAGGTGTACACAGAGGTTCTTGATGGGCAATGGTAGAGTAATGTTTTTCAGAAGTGACAATTTTGGAAAACACAGTGGTTGGGACACATTATACTGTAACCAAGATGTGTTTGTACCACTAGGCATTAAGCTACAAATTGCCAGAAATGGAGGGATGATGGATTTGCCTAAAGCAGAAGAAGATGTAGAGTCAGACACATCACAGAACACTGCCTCCATGCCACACATACAAACATGAACCATTCCCACATACATGTTTGACCCTAGGAAAGGGTCAGATGTGGAACCAGAGATGCAGACTAATAATAAGGAAAGTGAGAATGAATCAGGAAGAACAAAAGTAATAATTCCCTGAAGGATTCACAGTCAGAAGAGAACCAGATCGATTTTTCATCCAAGATGCAAGTGTGGTAAACAGAGGTCCAGCTGGCCAATCAGGAGGCAGCTGAGAGCCAGAAAATGAGAGTTCATCTGGGAGTGGTATAAAAGCCCAGGCTGACAGAGAGTAGAAGAAGATTTGGGCCAGAGGGTGTGTTGGGAAAGTTAAGCCAGTGAGAGGGCTGTGTTTAAGGTATTCCTGAGGGAACTGAATTTTAGGGAGATAGAGTTTAGAAAGGGTAAACTCTGAACACACAGAGAGCTCTAGAAGAGAGAATTAGGGCTAATCGAGCTGACACAGCTGGTTTCGGAGCTGTTGTTGGAGTCCCCCAGACTCTCAATTCTGGGAGACGTCAATATCCCGCTTGAGACCAGTTTAACAGGTGAGGCTCAAGAGTTCATGGAGTTCATGACTAACATGGGCCTATCCCAATTGGTTGTCAGGCCCACACACATACTGGTCATACACTCGATGCGGTCTTCAGTACGGAACAGGAATATCCATGGGCAGAGGTTATCAGTACCTCCACTCTGTCATGGATGGATCATTTCCTGGTCAAGATGAAACTTAGAGCCTATATCTTCCCCACCGGGGGTGGTGGACCCATAAGAATGGTCCACCCTCAAAGGCTAATGGATCCAATTGGATTCCAGAAAGCCTTAGAGGGTTGGTTGGGAATGCCGGTGACCCTGTCGATGCCTTGGTTGATACTTGGAATATCAATCTCACCAGGGCTATTGACACAATCGCTCCCAAACCTCCTTGTCATCCCACTTCAAACCGTAAGCCATGGTATACACCAGAGCTTAGGAGGATGAAGCAGTTTGGACAACGACTAATGCACAAGTGGCAAAAGACTCGACTCTTATCTGACAGAACTTGCCATAGGAACTTTCTTTGGGCCTATTGAGAGGCAATACGAGCAGCGCAGAGAGCTTTCTCCTCTGCACATATTGCATCTGCAGAGTCCTGTCCGGCAGAGCTGTTTAGGG